GTTAATAAAATAAAGGATGTGATCTTATTTAGGTAAGATAACATATTAAAACATAAGTTTTATATGGATCTTTTCGATGTATTTGCCCAATTATTTCTTTGTTTCTGTATGTATTGCTTCAGGTATTGATGTTGTACAGATGAAAACATATCTTGAGTAAAAAAAATATTATAGATGAACGTTTTAAATCATTCTTATACAATATATACCTCTTATGCTTGTTTTTTTGTACCTTGGCTTTTTAGTACTCCACCACAAATTCATCACATCTTCACTAGTTTTATATAGTCTTATTTGCAAATGTTAGTTTATATAGTTTTTATTTTAATTTCATAACTGTTTTTAATAAATGTGATTTTTTTCTCCAACTGTTTGCAGTACTTCTTTATTAGTTATTTTCTTGGTCTACATTTATCTTTTTATCAGCCTGTCTTGCAATAGACGCTTCCAAACTAAGCAAAAATATAATAATGCAAATAAGTTCTTATAAATAAATGATTTTAATTTGTCACCATCTATCATATTGATCTAAAAATGGTTCAAACCCGTGTGAATCTATCCACATGCCCAACATTGTCCAAATTCGCGCAAAGTTTTAATTGAGATAAACGCGTAAATAGCGAGAGCAAAACGCCGTAGACCAGCGACTGCAAATGACAAACTAAATTGCCTTTAATTCAATTATTTAATATTAAACTGCTTAACTCGAGAAGCAGAGGTTTACAGCTGCTCCAGAAATGATTAAGTGTACATACAAAGTTCAAAACGTTCAGAACTCCATTAAAATTGTTGAAGGGCTGTTTGGAGATCTCTTTCAAATAATGCTCATTGTAAGAAACTTTCGAATTATAGTTGTATTTTGAGACTTGGATGTTTTTATGGAATCAAATAACTCATGGAAAAACTTATTCGTTCATTCATAGTAAAGTTTGAAGTAAATTACTTTATTTCATTTGTTCGAAATTCTTTTGATTCTTATACGTACATTTCTTTAATGAAAATTTCACAGAATATGATTAAACTATGTAATCTTATATGGGTTTTATCACATATCGATATTTGTGAAAAATCTTAAGAAAGAGATTGATATTAATCTCTGATTAGTCATTAATTAACATATATAAATATAAATTTATTGTATAAACCGAATTGAACAAACGCTTCGAAATTAACAAGATGCAAAATAATTGCAAACAATTTTGGTTTTATAACGAAATTTTAATTAAACGATAACATAATAAAATTTTGATAATGCAATAAAATTCGACCATAAAGCAGACTCATAGAATTGTCCATTATATAAACAAGTCACTAGAAGAGAAAAAGTACTGTTCAGCAACATTCTTGGATATACAACAAGCATTTGATAAGGCCTGTTTATAACAATAATAATAGTTGTTTTTCTATTCGTTTTAATATTAACATTTTTTTAATGATAATGATATAATCCTAACAATTTACTTAAAAATAATTTCTTATAAATAATAACAAAATTATTTCAATCTCTATCAGAAAAATTGATGAATTAGATCAAGTGAAGCTTTTCTTTTTAACATACGTCGTAAGGAGTTTGCTAGTGAATTTGGGTGTCTGATGACCTTGTTTCTATATTTATGTGCTGTTTTTGTTATTACAGCTTTTATGGTAGGTGTGTTCGTGTCGACATGAATAGTCAGTTCGGGATATATTTTGGTGCTCCTAAGACAATTTTCAAAAACTTGTTCTTAAATTTCTGTATTACTTCTATATTATTCTTATGAACACTACCCCACAATTGTATTCCATAGTACCCAATTGGTTTGAATAAAGTTTTATATAAAAGTACCTTATTGTATGAGCTTAATTTGGATTTAGTCTTTAATAACCAGTAAAGCTTTTTGGTTTTTATCTCAAGCTGTTGCCTCTTTTTTATGTGAATTCGCCAATTAAGTTTTCTATCGTAGTATATGCCGAGATATTTCACATGGTCTTCTTGAGGTCCTTGAGTGTTTTCTATTCTCACTGGTGGGCAGGTTTCTCCTCTAAGCGTAAATGTCACATGTACTGACTTCAAACCATTCATTTCATATTTGCAGGTTTTGTTCCATTTCTCTAATAAATTTAAATAGTTCTGGAGATAAAATGTTTAACTTAGATGCAGAACTGGAATCTACGTGGCTGGGTAGAATGCACGTATCATCAGCAAACGTTGCGATCAAAGTGTCAGTTGTTATTGGAATAGATGTGGACCCAAGACGTTTCCTTGTGGAATACCTGAAGAAACTGTCTTATTTAATGGTTTAGTGTCTAAAATATTTACATCAAAACTCCTAATCGACATGTATAATTTTATTATTAAACAAAGAGAGGTACGTCAAATTAATTTTTAATTTATGTATGCCAGGCCTTATCAAATGCTTGCTGTATATCCAAGAATGCTGCTGAACAGTACTTTTTTTCTTCTAGTGATTTATTTATATAATAAACAATTCTATGAGTCTGCTTTATGGTTGTTTTTCTAACATGTCAATATAGTATACAATGCCAATTATATATTACGGCTGACAATTTTAAATTCCCCAAATTTACTAAACGTCTTTAACTTGACATTTGTAAATAAAATAGAGAATAATAAAAAGAAAATTAATATATTATAAAAATAAAAACATTTATATAAAACTATGCATCATAAGATGTTTTTTTTTTTATTTATTTATTATTTAATAGACAATCAGAAGACAAAGTTTCTATTAGCCTATGTGATAAATTATATTTGGCGTTTAGAGGTCTCCTCCATTGAAGAGATCCTCTGCTAGAATTATTCTATAGCTGTCTGTATATAATTTAATATTGCAGGTCCTTTGGCCATTTCTTCTTGAGACTTCTTGTTTGAACCATTTATAAGATGTTCTTACATAGTTTTGCGTGTATTTATTTAATGACACAATAATTATTGTAGATTCATGAAGTATTATAAGTAGAATGCACTATTTATAAAATTACTTCACATGATTTTTAATTAGGATAGCATTTAAAAAAATGTTTTTCTGGTCTCTGCTTAAATTAAGATTTTTAATTAATTTGTAATTGAAATTTATATTCATCTTCTTATAATAAAATATTGCCCAGCTTTCGTACTATCAGTAGCATATGACAAATGAAGAAAGTTCTCAAGCATAGATATACATCCGTCCAAAGTAATTGATGTTATTTTCCCTCAAGAAATATTCAAATAACAACGTGTATACGTTAAGCGTTGCGCGTTTTATTCATAAATTCGCATTTAATATAATGTCCTAAAATGTATGGCACAATTTTCTCTAAAGTATCATTTTTCATGAATCATACTTTCTAAGCGAACTGATGTATCAATTTAGGAAATTTTACCTTGTCATGGAAAACATTTTTTTGCGGATGTTGGGAAATGTGAGATTTTTTCTTTATTGTTTGGTGTTTGGATTCAATTGTGAAAGTCATGGTAAAGGCAAAAAGTTATATTAATATGAGTTGTTTTGATTAAGAAATACTGAAAATTAATTAAATATTGCAAAAATGAGTTTGATACATTGATACATTTTTGAATCAGTAATGCTGCCTAAATTTATAATGAATTCTTGATATATATATATAATATATATATATATATATATATATATATATATATATGCTCAATAGATAAGTCCTGGATTTTTTCAATATATTGATTGTTTCTTTTCCGAACAGTAAATCCAATAATAAAAAACAATTTGTTTTTTGAAGATGTTTAATAACGACGTTTCGGAACTAGGTACGTTCCATCATCAGGTTTATTCTGTAATAATTTATATATCCATATCACGAATATTTTTTTGTTAAAAACACTCGATTTTTTTGGAGGATATTTGTAGATGTTACGACTACACAAGACTTAAACACACTGATATAATATATATATATATATATATATATATATATATGCATATACCATGTGGAAAATTTTCCATTTTAACTGTCCTAAAGTCGAGTAGGAGTTTATCTCAGCTCAGAAACTTACCTTCAGGCCTAACAACCCACTCTATAAATATATATATATATATATATATATATATATATTGCGGTTTTCCTGGTTTGCTTTTTAATATCACCTATTGTAATTTATGTAATATGTTTTTCAGGTTTTTGAATGATGACAAGCATAAAAAAGAATCCTATTTTAATATTTTCTTAATTTGACGACAAAATACTTCATATATATATATATATATATATATATATATATATATATATATATATGCTTTAGGGTGGTCCTTAATATGAACATTTTCGATTGCGCACTATCTAAAAGTTAATATTAAGAGCTACAACTTTCAGAGAATTATTTTAATAATTTTTTATCAATTTGGAACCATTTGAGCCCTTGGGAAATGCCCATATTGAGGACCACTCTAATATGCATATGTATATATATATATATATATATATATATATATATATATATATAATTTAAATTGATACATAAGATAATAAATTGAAAATGTTTTCATAAAATATTGAATAGTATACATACTTCTAAGGAATTTAGCATATGCTGATATGTGTTTGAAAATTTATGGACCCGATGATATTCAAGTTACAATATGCAGCATATGGGATCCGTATGCAAATATTTTTTAACTCGCCCCATCATGTACATTTTGAATTATTTTCAAGACATTTCACGCATTTATATGGAAAGATCATCCTAGATAAAATAATAATCGGTTTCAAAAAACTATTTTATTTAACATATTTAATAATAACAACACGATATGTTACAACAAATTTACCTTTTCACCATCTATAATTTTCATTCCATATAAAATAACAAATAGATTTCATTGAAAAATTAAGGAATTGACAAAGTAATAGTTGCATATAGCGATATCAATGTACTAATTAATCAAGAGTAAATGCATAGAGCGCATTTATAATATAAGCATTTTTTATTAAATAGAGTTAAATTTAATATTATTTGTTTATAAACAAAAAAAATTTTTTTTCAGTTCTGACAACGAGACGTTTAAGGACTGTCACCAATTGTTTCGTGATGAGTTTGGCTGTAGCAGATTGGCTTGTGGGCATATTTGTAATGCCCCCTGCAGTGGCTCTTTTTTGGGTTGGTAAGTATCCTTATAATTCTTTACACTTATAAATTTAATATATTAACTAGTATATTGATTTATTAATCTGTAATATTCGATCGATCTGTATTTTCCTTGCTACCAAATTTACTCGTGAATAGGATAATTTATTTGCTCATTGTTCTGCTCTAATATTATTGACGTACATGGTACATTTATCCAAACCTATACAATATTAAAACACGCTACCACAACTTATAATTATAGAATTTAATTCAAAATTGGAATTGAAGCCTGAAAATCAAATCAAGCATGCTAAAATAATATTGGTTTTACAATCTCGTAATAAATACAAAACCGTTAGTTTAATACGAATATACGAGAAATTGGTTCAAAATGAAGCAGTCTTTAGTGCTTCTAACTATCAAATATAGTAGACTAACTCAATCTCAGTTAATATTTAAAATCAAGATATAATATCATTCAACATCCAACTTAAATGTATTTGAATGCTTGTATTTTTTATATTTATATAAATATTCATAAAAATTGTAATTTTGTTATCTTTATAATTCTGATAGTTTTGCTTATCTTTCAAGAAAATTATTCTCGTTGCAATATTAATTATAATTCTAATCCTTATTGACTCAAATGAGAATTCAAGCTTATCTTTATTTTCAGTATGATTAGATTAAAATTTAATCACTGTTATATATAAGCTTTTGCACATATCAAATTTTATTGAATAATTGTATATATTTATATATGGATTTGAAATCAAGCTAATCTTCAGCATGTGGAACAATCGTATAATCAAAACCTTTGTTAATAAATATTGATAATACCTTATAATATTTCCTTAATTAAAATAACTTTTTGAGTAGGTGTGCAAGTGCAAGTAATCACTTAAATAATTCAATATTAAATATATGGATGATTTCCAAATTGTCATAAGAATATAAAGAATTAAGTTTTCAAGAATACAAGGAAGGTGTATAAAATAAGGCGATGGCTGCAGATATTCCAAACATATAATCACAAATTCAAGTACAGTTAGTTTGTTTTTTTTATCTTGCGTACTTTGATTTTAACAGATAAAAAATTATATTTTCTAAAAAATAAATCAGTGTGGTTTTGTACTTTTGACTATGCCGGAGTTCACTTTTTTGGTTCACCAGTAGGTACAGAATTTCAAGCAAGTTGGGTTTGCATCGGACTGATGCTTTTGCTTTTACAAAGATAGTATAAAATTTATTCATTTAATAAAAAGATACCCGGTCTCTAGAAGGAACTGACTTTAAATTCACACTGCAGAGAAAACTTTCCAAAACTAAAACGTCAAGACATAACCATTCAAACACGCCGTTCTTTACATGAAACAAGGTGTGTACAAATTTCCCCGAAATACAAAGGCCCTATGCCACGTATATGAATACATACGTGCTCTTTTAGTCTTTGTTCCTTCTGTCTACCTGAAATGCCACGTAATTTACGACCAAAACTTTCCCAGTACATTATATTTAGGCGGAGCACGAAATTTAAAGGTGTTTATGTCGATAATGGTCCACGTTTTTTTTTGGAGTTTGGAGTTTTCAAACTCTTTTTTGCGATGATAGCTTAAACTGCTTAGGAAATTATGTCTGAAATTTTTGTGACATGTTGTGGTTTATGATGTACATAAAACGAGTGATTCAATTATATTCAAACGGTATTAAATGAAGTGAATTTTAGGACTATTAATGAAGAAGACCTACTAAAGTATAAGCTTCAGTAAATTGAATATAATTTCTAATTAACACATAATTTTATTAAGAATATTTGGTAGATTTTGTGCAATATTAAAATTATTTTTTATTATTATTATGCCTTAATTACCTTCCCGTAGGGAAACTCATTGTGATAGTCTAAAAATTGCAAATGAAAACTTTTGTTTTTCTTCACGTTTTAGATGTATTTGAACATTTGGCATACCTCACAAAAAATGAGTGTATGTATGTGTGTGTTTGTGCGTATGCAACGATACAATTTTTAGCCAACGTTTTTCATATTTAAAAAGCATTTGATTCCTATTGATAACGAAACGTGCTAATTAGTTTTTGGCTAAGATCAGAATATGGAAATTATATTTTTAGCAAAACTCAGAATATGGAAATTAGATTTTTGAGAGAACAGAGCATTCAATTTGAATGATTTAAAAACATTCAATTAGTAATGATGGGGAGTTGTTGGAAGTCCAGCCGTTTTGGAAATAAGGAGCTAAATGTGCAAAAAAATTTTAGTTGTTGAAAAGAACTAAGAATCCGATTTGAATGATTCAAAAAACATGTTTTCTTTGTGAAGACACGATGAGTTTTTGGAGAAAATACAGAATTGTAATAAGTTCAACTTTTTTTAAATCGTTTTTTGAATACCGAAAATGATTCGGATTCTGTTTTTAATTTCAGATAGGATTCTAAAACACACTTATATATTTCAAATAAATAATTTTAACTTTGCAATTTAGTTATAAACTCTTTTATTTTGTCTATAAAACTTAAATAATAAAAGTTACAGTATTTATAATAATCTATATCAAAACATTTAATAGTTCTCGAATATTTCATTAAAGTACGTAAAGTTCCAGTAATTAGCCTTAAAGCTGGATACCACGCATCACTACTTCAATCTTTTTTATTTTTGAAGTAATTTTTTTCGAACAATTTATACCATTAACTCGTATAATAGTTGTTTTATTTTGAACTTATCTGCCATATGAATAAATATATTTAAACTCTAGAATTTGCTTAAAACATTAAAAATAGTATCATTGTTCGGAGAGAAATTTAAGTTGTGTAGTTTATTAAAATAAACGATAAATATTTTGCATATTTTTTCAATGTTTTTAATTTAATTCAATTGCAATTAATCTAACAATGATGAAATATAATATTTGAACTAACTGTAAGTTGAGTATAATTGATATCTGATAGTTTGTTTTAGGCAAAAGTCAGAACACAACATTTTTAATTTTATTGTAAAACAATAACTTTTTTCTAAAATTATATTATGGATAATATAATAATTCCAATAAATTATTATTGAAAAACATAATTAAATTGTGATACAATAGTAATTTCTTAAATAAGTTCATTTTCCATTAGTAATGCTCCGGATCTCATGATATTAAAATAAACGATAAATTTCTTTCATATTTGACATTTTTTTATTTTTTTATTTAATTTAATTACAATTAATCTAACAATAATGAAAAGGTAATATTTGAACTTATTGTAAGTTGAGTATGATTAATATCTGATAGTTAGTTAGTTTTAGGTAAAAGATCTTCAACATTTTGAATTTTATTTTGAAACAATAACTTTATTCTAAAATTATATTATGCATAATATAATAATTACAATAAATTATTGTTGCAAACTTGCAAAACATAATAAAATTGTGATGCATTAATAATTTCCCAAATAAGTTCATTTTCCATTAGTAATGCTCCAGGTCAAATGATATATTATCCTTCCCTACATGTTGAGTATCATTTGATTACAACATTTGAGTTAGAATATTTGATTTTGATAGGTAAGTGCATAATATTTATACATTTCCTATGTAATATTACCGTATAAATAGCATAAACACCATTAGCACAACACCGATGTGTATATTACATCATGAACAACTAGTATAAAATTTGTTTACTTTGAAGAACCGCAACGTAAACCTTTCAACAAACTTACATATCATCAATATGATCGATCGTAAATATTTTATATGAGAATATTTGTATTCTGTTTTAAGTGAGATACTAAACACTTATGATTATAATAGGCAGAGGAAAATGATTCTTGCAAAACAAAGGTACAGATGGTTAGAAAATATATAGGCATGTTGTTAGAAGTATTTAATTAGCTAGCTGCAGATATTAATAGTTATTTCCCTTTTCATGAAAAATGTAATTTGGTTACTTCAAATCATTAAATACAAGTTTACTATTATATGTGACGATTTTTGTTTATAAGAAAGAATTTAAAGTAAAACTTATTTGCTACTGTACTAGATGGCATTTAAGTAAAAATAAATACATCATATAACAATTTTGAATAATGTTTATTAGTAATATTGTAACACTCATGATGCACACATTTATTAGTGTCAACTATTATACACATTTATATAATGATATATTATAAATTATATATTTATAATAGCATTAAAAATATGAATAATATTTAAAAACAATAATGTAATTAAAGTCATACTCCAAATATGACATGTTAGGTCATTGTGATTAGCATTTAGAACCTTCATTAGAGAAATGAATAATTGCTGATTAATAAATTCTATAATATTCATTCACATAGTGGATTATGTAAAACAACGTCTAAAGGAATATATTTTTACAATTAAACTCATCATATAATTGTGTTTGAAGAATTTCGTGTAATTAAAATTAATATACTGCTTGTATTTTTTTTACTTTTCCGCTGGCGATATAATCTCATTTTTTAAACAGCTGTAATATCTGTCTTGCTAAAAAATATTTTCCATTCTAATAACTTCAAAGATTTATAGAACTACGAACAATATAGAAATAATTTCTGATCAATAAACTTACGTTTAGTACACGGCCCAAATGTTTAATTTGTTTTATTATTTTCAAGGAACAGGGTAAAATATACTTCTGACTCAGGCATTTTTCAATAATCAAGATTTGTACTAAGATGTAACTTCAAAATGTTCATTTATCTATACCGATTTCCTTATTGGTATCGGTACGCATACAACGTTGATGCCGATACGCATCAACGACAGATCACTATTCACATACACGACGAATAATCACAATCGACCCGTATTGAAATGATTTCATCGAGAGCGAATGACGTACAGTTCGGACATAACGCATTTCCGTTGCATTTGTACGGATTTACACCCTAGTCGCGCTTGAAGAAGTTTTAGTTTAAAAATTGGTGTTAGCCTTAACATTAAATATCTAATACGTTAACTCTAGAAAATGCTAAGAAATAAATTGTAATATTTCCAAAATA